CTGGGGCTAGAACAGACACACGCCTTCCTGAACTCGCTCCCTCAAAGATAGGGCCCATTTTTCTTCCGTGGCCCACGGCTCTGCTCCGGCTCCTTTCTCGAAGCCTGGACCAGCGCGAAGCCGGCAGGAAGGGAAGCGCAGCCAGGCCTCCCCAGCGCTCAGGCAGGTTCTGGGCGTATCCTCAAAGGGCGGTGGGAGCGCAAGGCCGCAAGCTCCCCCAGGTGGCACCCCTGGGCGCTGCGCTGGGCTTGGGGAGGAGGGGCTGTCCCTGGCAGAGGGGAACTTGTGCGTTAGGGGGTCTGCGATGAGAGCCCGTGTGGGGTTTGCTTTCTTGGCACCTCTTTCCAGGCAGCAAAGGGCCACCGTCTCTCCACTGACCGCTGGACAGGCCTGGCCTGCGCTCGGAGATCACTTACCCTATCCGCAGCCTGAGCTCCGACTAGGCCTCCCCCTCCCCGCAGCAGTAAAGAGACTAGGCCTCCTCGGACAAACAGTTTATTAATTCGGGCCGAGGCACCGCGGTGCGACACGAGGAGTTTGGCACTGGGAGGAACGCAAGGGAAGACAGACATGTGGCTCTACCCTGGGCAGCTTCTTGGTTGGCCCGAACACCAATTCCCCTCTGCCCAGGGTGCAATGGCTTCAGGGTCTCCAAGGCTCTGCGTGTCTCTTCGGACGAGGTTGGGGGCGGGGGAGAGCAAGAGAGAAGAAATAGGGGGAGTCCTGGAGAGGGGCTGTGGGCGAGTGAAGACTGGACTGAAGTGGTACTGGGGTGCTCGCGGGGGTGGGGGGCCCTGAGCCTGAGTTGGCGCTAGAAGTGAAGCCATCTGGACCCAAAGGAGGAGGGTGGGTGGCCTGGAGAAAGAGCGGGCCTGCTAGCTGCGGGTATAGTAGTAGTTGTAGTCGTCCTCGCACCTGTCGAAAGGGCCAGGCGGGCTGCCAGGCTCGCCGTCTTCATTCGGCGCGGTGCGCTCACGCAGGCACACGGCGTCATACAGGCCCTGCGGTGCCTCATCTAGCAGCACATCGCGCTCAGAGCGGGAGTGTGTCAGGAGGCCCACGTTGCGCAGGAGCAGCAGGACGGGCGCATAGAGCAGGTTGGCCAGGCCCATCCCCAGGCTGAGCTGCTCAAAGCCTAGCGAGTGCACGATGTGGCCGGCTACTATGGGCCCGAGAGCGTAGGCCACGGAGTAGGAGATGTCAGCGATGGCATAGACGCTGCCGTAGACTGAGACGTGGCGCACGTCCACCAGGAAGGCAAGCGTGGGCAGCAGCGCAGTGTCGACCAGCGCGATGCCAAAGGAGAGGCCGCAAAGTGAGACCACCAGCGGCGAGAACGAGCGGCAGGCAGGCACGAGGCAAGAGCTGGCGCCAATCACCGCCAGCCCGAGCGCGCCGTAGAGCCACTGCAGGTGCGGGTAGCGCGCTGCCAGGCGCACGATGAGGTAGACGCCCAGTACGTGCGGCACAAAGGCCGGCAGCCAGACCATGCCCATTTCCCACTCGGACGCCGCCAGGGTGTGCTTCATCCACGTAGCGATGGTGGGCTCCAGGAAGGCGAAGGGGATATTGCAGGTGGTGAGAGCGCCTGCCACCACGGCGATGTAGGGGTCTAGCATGAGGCGGTGGATAGGCGTGCCCACCGGCAGGTTGGCCCGCGCTCGAGCTGCGGCCGAGAAAGGCTTGGCCACCACCAGCAGCAGGAGCGCGTCGAGGAGCGACACGGCCGCGAGCACCAGAAAAGGCACGCGCTTGCCAGCGAACTCATAGAGGATGCCCCCGAAGGGCGGTGCCACCAGGCTCCCGAAGCTGATGAAGGCCAGGGCCACGCCCAGCGCACGGCTGCGCTCGGGCTCCTCGGGGTACTTGTCGGCGATCATGGCGATGCCGGATGTGTCGGCGAAGGCCGAGCCCAGGCCCTGCAGGCTGCGCGCGGTGAAGAGCATGGCGTAGTCCTCGGCGAAGGCGAACAGGACCGTAGAGGCGAACATGACGCCCAGCCCGATGAGCAGCGGTACGTCGTAGCTCATGCGGTCGATGAAAGGCCCGCTCAGTGGGTTTACCAGCAGCTGCAGGATGGCCTTGGACGCGAACAGCACCCCGATCTTCACGTCCTCGCTCTCCGTGGGGTAGCGGGGCCGCAGGGCCGGCCAAGCTGGGCTCGCAGCCATCGGGGCCGCCGAGGTGTTGGCCACGGAGGCATTGGCCGCGGTGGGTGGCAGAGGGGTGGGCGTCCAGCTTTCGGTGGCCGGGGTGGCGCTGTCACTGCTCCCGCGCATTTGGGCGATGTAGTCTGGCACGATGGGCACGATGACCATGTACAGCATGTTGTCCAGCAGCAGCGCCACGCACACGATGACCAGCACCAGGCGCCGCTGCCGCCGGGGCTCCTGCAGCGCCGCGCCCACCGCTTCCGACAGCTTCGTCGCCGCGGCCCGGGCCTGGCCCGCGGACGCCTCGGGCTCCATACCCCTGGGGTGCTGTTCGTATGCAGATGCCTCCGCCTGGGTCCGTGGGGGCGCCCCGCAGTGCCGAGACGGGGATCCCAGGGACGCGGTACTCGCCGCGCAGCGCCCCCTGCGCCTCAGGTGGTGGCGGGGCTCATGTCCGGCGCCCAGGCAAAGGCAAGGACTCGTCCAGCGAAGCGCTGCCGCTGCTCTGGGCCGATCAGGGCCTCGCCGCGCCGCGCTCAGGTGCAGCCGGGAAGGTGGGCGCGCAGAGAGGGGGCGCCCAGGACCCGGCGCGCGGGATATCTCGTTGCTGCTGGGCTCTCGCTCGCCCAGCCGCCAAACCCCCTCCCTCGCGCTGGCTCCGGCCTCCACCGCAGCCGCCGCCTCCTCTTTTTTTCCCTTCCACTCGGGGCTGTGACGCGCCGAGTCTCGGCCCCCAAGTGGTGCCCCGGCCACTTGCGTCGCTCATGCTAATGCGACGTCGGCGGGGTGGGGGCCGGGGGCGGGGCACGGCCAGGCGGGGGTCCGCGCCCTAGAAGCGCCGGGACTGGGAGCCCCAGGAAGGGGTCTGGGTGGGGAGGAGTCCTGGGCCAGCAGCTGGGGATGGGCGAGGCGTGGGCGGAGTCGGCGCTCTGAGCCCCCACTTCCAGGACCTGCAGGGTCAGCGCCCACTCTTCTCCCAGTAGGAAGGGGGGCGCGGCGGCCGGATCCCCGCGGCTCCGCGGGGAGGGCGCACCCTGGCTCGAGATCTCCGCCTTTGCCTGGATCTCGGCGCACAGCTGGCAGGGCGCCCCCGAGGTGAGCCGCGCCGCGTCCATCTGTGCTCTCAGCGGGCGTGTGGAGTTGACCCGAGGCGCGCTGGGCGCGGGCCCTCAACCTCTCCTTGGCCCTGCCCCCATACTCTTTGCGCCCCCAAGGTAGGGAGGGGGAGGCTCGGAGACTGCTGAGCCGGACTCCCACCGGCTAGCCCTTGGGCAGAATGTCACCTCAGCGAATCCAGACCGTGAGCCTGGAGGGACTGAGGTGTAGGGTCGCCTCGCCCCCGACCAGGGTCCCGAACGTCAGCCCGGCCGGGCCGCGCTCAGCCTCCCGCGCCGCCTGGGAACCCCACCCAGGACTCTCTCCGCTTCGGAGGGTGGGGGGGGGGTTCCCCTGCTCCGCCTCCTCTCCCTCCTCATGCTAACTCCTCCCAGCCCCTCTGAGCTCCCGCCTGGCGCGCCCTCTGCTTTGGGAGCCTCCGCCCACTTTCTACCCTCCCCATCCCCCACCTCCTGAGCCTCCTAGCTTCGGGGCTACTTGAGCGGTGCGACTAGGGTCTCTCCCCAGCCTTAGGAAGCCCCGCGTGGGCGCCAAGCTGCTCGCCAGCCAGGAGCCCTCTCTCTGCGGCCGTCAGAGGCTCGGGGGAGGGACGCTCACCTTTCCCAGGAGCTGAGCCCCCAGTCTTCTCAGTGCCAGGCCGTGTGCTGGGCCTGCTGCGTCCCCAGAAGAACTTCAGCCAGCCGAATGGCTGCAGAGCCGCTGTAGGGTTCCAGGTCCCTGCTGACTGAGGTTGGGGGGTGGTGGTGTTGTTGAGATTACAAGTTGTCTCTCTTCCTGGCCTGGCCTCAACCTCGAACCAGTGTTAGGTGCAGTTGCTTCTTCCAGTCTTGTCAGGCACTGCAGCAGGCATCTGAGGCCAGGGGCTGTAGCGGCCGGACAGCAGGATTGCTCCCTGCTCTGCCACTCATTAAACAAAGCGATCTAGCAAGGTGGCTTCTTCTCTATGTCCCTCCTTCAGTTGGTTAACCTGGAAAATGGAATAACAACAGTACTTGCTGCTTAGTGTCCATGCGGGGCACATAATAAAAGCAATGTAAGCACTTGCTAGCGTTGTGGTTCTAAAGGGTGCTGTCTTATCCTCTTGTTCTAGCCCAGGATCTGGTGCAGAGCAGATGAAAGAAAGACATGGGAGTCCCGTGGCTGTCTGGCTGGTCCCACTGGCTAGGTGAGCGCTGTGATTCCAGGCTGTGCCTAGGCTGGTGGAGGGTGCAGAAGGTACTGGGGAGTTGGCTTAGGTGTCTGCTCCATCTGTGGGAGGAGGTGATGGAGGTCAGGGCATCGGGGTGAGAAGTAGCAGCCTTGTCCTCTATTGCTCAATCTCTCCAGAAAGACACTGCCACATTGTGTTCTACAGTGGCCAAGCTACCCTGTCCCCAGACCCCCAACCAGGGGACAGGCCTGGCTCTGGATGACCTTGGTCATGGGCCCCCTTGGGGCCCCAGCCCCAGCCTTTGTCTAGCAAGTGGTTAGGTGAGGGCCCCCACTATAGCTCTCAGACAGAAATGACCCCTGCAGAGGGCTCCTTTGGGTGGGAGAGTTACGTTAACTTATTTGATGGCCTTTACTGGGTGTTCATGAGGCCTCCAGCTCATAACACCCTACCTCTAAGCTGCCCTATACATTTATCTCACCTGCCTGCCTCTCCAGTCATTTGAGTTTAAGTCCTCTGGGTTCCTCAGCTGTCTCATTACAAAGCTTTTCAAGGGGCAGCCTCCTGGAGCAGTGGTATTTATGCACCCTTTGCCTGTCTGATTCAAAGCAAGAGCAGGAAAGAACTTGAGGTAGAAAGTTTCTTTCTAGTGGCTGGAAAACAGTGGGGTCTTCAAGAAGAGAAATGTTCCCAGTATTGTCCAGATGCAGACCCCTTCTCCAGCTCTCTGGTCCACATAATGCAGGGCTGTTCTGAGCATGGAGCCAAGTTATCTCTGGGCTCTGAGTTCACACTTAACTCTGTTGCTATAAAACAGGATGCGGTCTCATTTATTAAGTCCTTTCTCGGTGCCAGGGGTGTGGTGGGGGCTGCTTTTCTCCATCCCTGGGTCCTGGTACACCTCCAGCTTGCTGGAGGAGGAAGCCAGGCATAGAGAACCTGGGCCAGTGGCCTGAGAGCTCTGCCGCAGAGCCTGGATTTAAACCCAGGCCATGAGATCTACCTCCCTGTTCCCTGCACCTCATTATGCCCCCTCTGCCCCTTCAGCCAGGTAACATGCAGGGGCATGGTAGGGGAGAGGAGCAGATGAGGACCCATAGGAGAAGGAAGGTACTGGGTCCTTTCTGAGGGACTGGGTCCCTCAGGGAGCTGGGGATATTAGGCTTCATTCTTCAACTTCCAGATCACAAGGCAACCTCCTTCCATCTTTAGCCTCAAGGACTGGGGTGCAGGAGTCACAGGTAAGCGAGGACCCCTTTCAGCAAAAGGCTCAGGAAAATGACCTTCTTAGCCCAGGCAGGACACAGGACAGCGTTGCTTCCCAGGCAGGCTGGAGCTGTCCGCGGTGCTGGCCAGGCTCACACTTAACCACCCAGACTCCAAGGGCGTCACTTCCTCTGTCTTTCTGTGTTTGTGGCATCCTCTTCTCTTGAATTCTGGTGGATTCCTCTTCTGAGGAATTCCTTTTCTATCTGAGCATAACTTACAGGCCAAAGGGAACATCTCATCCAACCCTGTAGGACAAAATGGAAGCTTTTATCTCTCCTTTCTCAACTGGGTACCCCAACTGTTGTTACCTGGCACATCCATGGTGCCCAAGGTAAGTTGAATGGAAAGGAAGGAATTTAGTTATTGGACACATAGAAAGACTTGGATGTGCTAGACACTCTTCTAAGCATTTTTCAAATATTAACTCATTTCATCCTTTCACCAACCTTCATATCACCCATCTATAGTCAGGGACTCTGAGATGAGGTAATTTAGCCAGTTACAGAGCTGGCAAGTGTTGGAGACTTATTCCAATGCAAGTGATCCAGCTCCAGCTCCCACCTGTCCATCACCATGCCATCCTGCTGCAGGAAGCCTCTGATAATAAGATTCACGTGATGTCTACTGATGCTCCTGCTTAGTAGGAACTGCATTCTGTTTTTTATCTTAGAGACAACTTGGAGATTCAGGGGGATGGCTTTGCTTTTTGTTTAATCCAGGGGACAGAGCAGAGGCCTCAGTTTGGTAAAGCAAAGTGTGTGCCATGTTGAACTAGTGCTGTGGGGGAGGGGCATGGGTACTGGGAAGTCCTGGTGGATGGGATTTGGGGGAGAGGGCAGGAGGACAGCCAGCATGCACTAGTGTCTGGGTGAGGTCTACTGCATCATGTAGGGGCTCTTGGGCAGGTTGTGGGGTGGTGAGTGTTCCTGTGGAAGGATCACCAGCCTGCCCTGGTCTCTTTCTGGGGAGGTCACAGGGCCACATCAATTCAAGGGCTTTGTCATTTGTTGCTTCCCGGCGATGTCAGCCCCAGAGACCGTGTGTCTGAGGAGATGCTGGGTGGTGTGGTGGTGGCAGCGTGTGGGCTGGGCGCCTGCTCCTGATTGATTATTTCTTTGTCTCCCGGGAAGCACTTAAGTGCAGGCTTGGTTCCAAAGAAGCTCATGAGCCTCTTTGGATTCCAGCACTGGGGTGGGGGTGCAGTGTGCCAGACCTCACTATCTGTCCCTGTGCACTGTCCTGGGAGTGCCTTGGGGCCTCAGCATCACTTAATTAATTTAGGCTTCCCCAGCCACATATTCTCAGATCTGAAGAACAGAGTGGCCCATGTCAGCCTTTCCCAGAAACCTGTAATCCTGGTGGCTGACAGCCAGAGGACTACGTGCCTGCCCTTGGCCAGCTTGTCCTTAGCTCAGACCAGCCTTGTGCACACAAAGCTGTGCATGAGTGGGGGTGGAGAGGGGTACAGCTCTTGTACTCCAGCAGGCCTGGAGCTCCCTCTCAGCTCACAGCATGGGGCGCTCGCTGGCCCCTGCCTTTCTTCTGGCTCCTGACTCTTCTCCTGGACCACTGGTTGGAAGGAGGGATTAGCAGGGCTTCAAGATTCCTTTGGTTTCCACTCTCTACTTACTCTCTACCCAGTCCAGGGAGGGTCCCTTTCCCTCTTCCACTGAGACCACGCCTGCCTTTCCAGCCCAGGCTCTAGTCTCCCCTCAACACTGGGCCAATAGCACCTCCCAGCTTGACCCTGCCTCACTACCTGGCCAACCCACTCCTGCACGGACTCCAAACTTCCTTTCTCTGTGAGGTTCTAGGCAGGCTTCCAGCTGGCTCACAGAACCCCCCTGCCCCTGCTGCCACCAGCCCCTTGCTGCGTAGGACCAGAGCCAGGCTCCTCCCTGAGTCTGGTGGCCTTTCCATCCATCCTCCTCTTCCTCAACAGCCCCAGCAGCTTGCATCTGCGTACCTGGGAACCAGCGCTCTTTGGGCTTCATGCTCCTTCATTCCTGATGTGTTGTGAACTGCGCCCCCAAACCCTGAGTCCTGTCATTTCCCACTCTTCCGGAATTTATGCCACGTATCATTGGAGTGATTCTATTCCCCACTTCAGACTGAGGGCTGTTTTTGTTGCAGGGACACAGGGCACTGAGGATTGAACCCAGGGCCTGTCACATGCTAGAAAAGCACTCTTACCACTGAGCTACATCCTTAGCCCTTTTTATTTTTATTTTTAATTTTTTGTCCCAAGACAGAGTCTCTCTGATTTGCCTTAACTGGCCTCCAACTTGTGATTCTCCTGCTTCAGCCTCCAAACTAGGTGGGATTATAGGAGTGCACCTCTGTGCCTGGCACCTTGAAATGGGATCTGTGATTTCCTTGATGTGCAGTCTGTATAGCATTGGCTGTAGCACATGGTATGGGACCCCATGTGTCAATGGTTTTCAAATCTATTTATTAAAACAAAAATCACATAAATATCACAGGAACGCATTCTTCCCATAGAAATCAGAGCATTATGAATGATTGGTTCCCTCTGTCACTGTTATGTTTTTATGTGTGTTTTCCAAGTCATGCTAAACTTTTCCATACATACATTTGAACTCATATAAAACATAACAAACAAAGCTGGGTATGATGGTGGACGCCTGTAATCCCAGCTACTTTGGGAGGAGAAGGAGGAGGATTACAAGTTTGAGGCCAGCCTGGGCTACTTAAAAGGACCCTGTCTTAAAAAAAAAAAAATAAGGGGCTGAGGATGTAACACTTGCCTAGCATATGCAATGCCCTGGGCTTAACCCCCAACACCATTAATAAAACAACAAAAAACCATTAACCAAGAATACTGTCTGAACAAGTTTTTTTTTTAATATAAATGTCACATCCATATCATTCTGCAGTTCTCAACTTTTTTGCTCAGAGTGGTCTCCAGAACTGCTGGACAATGGGGTTTTGTTGTGAACACACCAGTGTCTTGGCCTAGTGGCTGCCTTGACTTATAGGTGATGCATCAGTCTAGGTTCCTGGGTGAATCTGAGCTCTGCACACATTTTATATTTTTAAAGGCGTTTCCAAGTTGCCTTCGGAAGGGGCTGTGGTGAATGCCACCCCACCAGCAGCTTGTGGGAGTGCACAGTCCCTGCCCAGGCCAGCACCTACTCTACAGTCTTCTTCCCTCTTGTTGGATGGGGAAAGAAGTATCCACGGGTCATTTCAATCATTGGCTTAATTGGCTGAGAACATTTTCATATGCTTACAGTCATTTGTATTTTCTTTTCTTTTTTGTTGCAAAGTGCCTGTATCTTTCTTTCCTTGTTTTCCTATTAAGTTGTTTGTCTTTTTCTTCCTGGGTCACAAACATTCTCAACATTTTAAACTGGAATATCCTCACCCTGGACACACCCATTGTAGATGAAGATTACCGCAACTTCACTACTGTCTGACAGTTCCTGCCTGTGGGGCAGGATGAGCTGCATCAGTGGAAACCCTCCAGAGGCTCCTCGCCAGGGATGGCAGGGCCTCTACCTGACAGGAGCCATCCTTACAAGTCACCCTCCTTTGTGTCTCAGTGGGATGCCCAGATCTATGGCTGATCGCATCACCTTCCATCTCTTGAAACTTGAACAAGTTTACTCAAATGCTCTGTATCCTGGGTCTGTCTTTTGTACAGTTTTATAAATTGTCTCTCCTCTGAGAGTCTCTATGCTCTGACCTTGTGCAAATGACTTAGTCTCTCCAAACCTTATTTA